GACCGGTGCAGCCTTTTTTGTGCTACGGTTGACCAAAAATCACTGGAAAATAAAATAATAAGCAGTACGAAAACAATATGACTCATGCTTACGCTTCATGTGCGGGGGTCATAATAATTATCTACTTTTACTGTTTTCCAAGGAAATTCTTAGGAATTGTTTACCAAAATATATTTGTGAAAGCAAAGGGAATACCCAAAGCCTGACCAAGAATGAAGACCACAAACATGTAGTTGGTCCAGACCTTATTTAAAAGTTCTATCACAGATAATTTGGTAWAATAGTTCAGAAAACATCATAGAAAATAGATAAAACTGAATGGGTTGAAAAATAAGGCCCAAACAGAATATRAAGTTATCTTTACAGCACCAGGAGAGGCTAAATTAAACTTTACTGCAGTAACTCCAAATACACAASAAAATGTAATGTCTAAAAAAGTTGATTTTGCAGGATATGTCCCSTTTAACATACAGCCCAGAAAAACATATGCTAGTTTTATAAACCTTAAAATCTCCTGAAAAAGGTTGTGGAGCTGAAACATTGTTTAAAGCTTTTTATCATAGCAAGAAAATAGAACCTAAACATGCAATCACATCTTTGCGATTTTAAAGGATCTCCTGCAGTTAGACTGTTTCTAACATCAGCTGAAGCTTCAACACACTGAGATTCTAACATCAGATAATACTTTAAAAACAGACATTCTAAAATCAGCTGATCCTTTACAAACACACTGATTCTTACGTCAGCTAAAGCCTTAAAAACACAAATTCTAACAATAGCTGAATCTTTTAAAACACACAAATTCTAACCTTAGCTAAAGTTTTAAAAACACAGATTTGAATATCATCTGAAGCTTTAAAAATATAGATTCTAACATCAGCTGAAGCATTTAAAAAAAGATTTTAACATCAGCCGAAGCTTTGAAAGCAGATTCTAACATCATCTGAAGCTTTAAAACATACTGATTATAACATCGGTTGAAGCTTCAAAAACACAGATTCCAACATCAGCTGAAGCTTTATAAACAAAAATTCTAACATCAGCTGAAGCTTTAGAAACACAGATTCCAACATCAGCTGAAGCTATAAAAACACATATTCTAATATCAGCTAAAGCTTTAAAAACATATCTCATAACATCAGCTAAAGACTTAAAAACATAATTTTTTAACATTAGCTAAAGTTATAAAAACACAAATTATAACATTAGCAAATTCTTCAAAAACACAGATTCTATTATCAGCTGAAGCTTTGAAAACACAGAATATAACATCAGTTGAAACTTTAAAAACAGACTCCAACATCAGCTGAAGCTTTAAAAATACAGAGATTTTAACAGCAGGAGATTTCTTACTAACACATTTTAACATCAGCTAAAGCTTTAAAAACACAAATTATAACATCAGCTAAAGCTTTAAAACATTCAAATATTAGCTAATTCTTTGAAAACACAAATTATAACACCAGCTAAAGCTTTAAAAACAAAGATTTAAATATTAGCAAATACTTTAAAAACACAAATTCTAACATCAGCTGAAACTTTAAAAACAGACTCCAACATGAGCTAAAGCTTTAAAAATACAGAGATTCTAACATCAGCTGATTTCATTCAGTTGAAAACTATTATAAACAGGTGTTACATAAGAGTCTGAGTTMTAAGGTGTCAGTAACTTGAGTCAGAAAAAGTTTCAAGTCATGGAGTTGTGAGGGGAGGCTGATCATGACTCAACAACATCGTGGACTTACACACGACATGACAAAAACATGCATTTTACATCAG